GGGAGGCGGTGGAAGATAGGAGGGCCTGGCGTGCTCTGGTCCATGGGGTCACGAAGAGTCGGACACGACTAAACGACTGAACAAAACAAAACAAAAGTTGCTTTCTAAATTCTCCAAGAAACATCCTGCTCGTGGTAAAGGCTTCTGGGAGTTTTAGGCCAAGAACATCTGGGGAACCAAAATTGGAAACCACTGGTTTAACAGGACAATGGCATCATTCCTGACCTTTAGGATGAAGGAGACAAGCCTCCAAATAAACTAAATTTTTATACATTCCATTTTTTCTTTTGCCTGTTTGCAGATCTCCTTTGAAAGGAAAAGGCCCCTTTAGCTCTATATTACAGCCGTCCTATGCACTGTACTGATTAAAACGTTAGGCTAAGACTGGACAAACCCGGATTCAAATCCATGCTCTGCCAGCAAGGAATCCTACACTAGTTGATTGGTCTGATCTACTCTGCAGGAATGTTGTGAGAATAAAAGGGGCAGAACCAGAACCATATAAGCTATGATGATCTCCTCAAGAGAAGAGCAGGATAACAAGGGTAATAAATGCCCTTGCCATTTTAACATGCCATTTTAATGTCATCACTCACACTTGACAATGACATCGTTTTCGAGAGCTCAGTCCAATAACCAGTCCTGATTAGAAGAGATCCACTGAATCAAAGACGGATCCGAGAAGCTCCATTCATTCCATGAGTATACTAGATAGCTCAGTGCTTTGGGTAGCTGTCTGTGGAGCCTGAGGTTGGGAGTTCGATTCCCCACTGGGCCTCCTGTGAGCTGAGTCAGCCTGTGTGGCCTTGGGCAAGCTGCACAGTCTCAGGGAGCACCAAGAAGAAGGGAATGCTAAATCACTTATGAGTATTCGCTACCTAGAAAACCCTGAAAAAGGTTTAACATAAGTTTGAATTGACTTGACGGGATACACTTATTGTGCATACAGCGGTGCCTCACTAGACAATGATAATCTGTTCCACTGAAATCGTTGTTTAGTGAAATCATCGTCTAGCGAAAAGCATTTCCCCATTGGAATGCATTGAAACCTGTTTTAATGCGTTCCAACGGGGAAGAATCGTCATTCTCTAGCGAAGATCAGCCATAGGAAAGCCACTTTGCGAACTGCTGATCAGCTGTTTAAATAGCTGTCTTGCGAAGCTTAGGTCCCGAAAACACCCGTTTTGTGAGCGCAGAGGGAGCTGTCAAAATCGTTGTCTAGCGAAAATCGGTTTGCGCAGCAGGGACCAAACATTGTCCAGTGAAATTCCCCCATAGGAATCACTGTCTTGCGAATCGCTATAGCGATCGCAAAAAGTCAATGTCTAGCGAAAAAACTGTCATGCGGGGTAACTGTCTAGTGAGGCACCACTGTACTCTAGTTGGGGCTTAATAATTAAGATTCAGCCCACAGCCTTTCCAGACAATGGAAAGAGAGGTGTGGCGTCAAATTACCTTGCAGCCAGTCTTCCAATAGAAGTCTCTAATAGCTCTCACCATGACCAACCCGACTGGAAAGGTAGCATTCACAGCTTCTTTCCCCGTGGAGGTCTTGATAAAATCAGAACCTTGGGGAAGGAATGAAAAAGGGAGAGAGAAAGGAGAAGAGAGTAAACTTTAAGGCAAGAAATTATTATAAATCTCAGCTAAAGCTTCCTTTAAACTTATATAAAGTATTTTTCTCACCCACTCCTACCACCCTATGGAAACAACCTACAGCAAATCTGGAACAACTGGTCACCATGCGGAATTTTGTTTCGAATGCTCACTGGTGCCATTTTCTGGGAAACTCCATTCCAATCCATTTTATCCCTTTGCACACACTATCCTCTTGTTAGTCCATTCCCTACGCCAGTGGTTCCCAACCTTGGGTAACCCAGGTGTTCCTGGACTGCAGTTCCCAGAAATCCTGGTCAGCACAGCTGTTGGTGAAGGCTTCTGGGAATTGCAGTCCAAGAACACCTGGTTTGCCCAAGGTTGGGAACCACTGTTCTATGCCTAGAGTGCTAAAGCAACTTAGCTGGCTTTGGGCACTGTGCACATGACTTCAAGGACGATGTTAGCTGCTGTGTCTCCCAGGCAGCGAAGTGCCTTGAGCCAGCCCTACTCTTGAGTTACTATGGCTTTATGAGGTCTATTTCATGTTAGGAATCTGAGTCTATTCACCGTGAGCAGAGAGGAGAGTTTCAGAATCTATCAACCCTATCTTCTGGTTTTGTCACCCTCTTGGTTCTGGACAGCCAACAAGCCTGATGAGATTCTGCTCAAAAATCAGGAATCCCACTTTAAGCTTTTTACTCTCCCAAAATGGAATGGGAGATGGGAGCTAGAATGCATCCTTCTACCCACAATAAGTACAGTATCTAAGAGTTCTTAATCCTTGGACAGACCCACAGAACCTTCAGATTCACGATTAGGTCACTGATGTAAATGCAGGTCACTGGGGAAGAAGAATGGGACAATGCTACAACACTCCTCCTTTCAGGGCTTCCCAGAAGGAGCCAGTCGAACATTATGGGGTGCATATTGCAAATTACAACACTCCTCCTTTCAGGGCTTCCCAGGAGCCAGTCGAACACTATGGGGTGCAAATTGCAAACTTGATAGACTTTTGGCCATCACAGTCTGGGGCTCTCTCCATGTGCATCGTGTATCAAGTGATTGGGCTAAGAAGTATCATTCCTGTTTATTCCTTTGTTAGAATTTCAAAGTTTATTCGCCATAGTCTTGAAGGCAGGGGTGAGAAATGTCAGTCCAAGGTCCAAATCCAGCCCTTCTAAGGCTCCCCGAGGAACTATATTTCCTTTCCTGTAATAACACTACTTGGTGGTTTCCAAGCCTTTTTAATGTCTCTCCCTTCCCCCCTCCCCCCCGGCATTCTAATCAGTTGAAATGTCTCTCTTGAGGCTTAATTAAGAGCACTAAATCATTCTTAAATACGCTGCTAATTTTGGATCTACCTGCTAACTGCACGGCCCTTGAAAACCTCTGAAACAGAATCTGGCCCTTTGGCTCTAGGGCTGAGTTGGATCACCTTCAAATCTTGAATGTTTTGGGCTTCACCTACCAGAAGAGCCCATATCATTGAATCATTGAATTGGAAGGGGTCTCTAAGGTCATCTAATCCCTAACCCCCTGCTCAATGCAAGAATTCAAATCAAAGCAGGTCGAGCAGATGGTTGTCCAATTTTTTCTTGAATGCCTCCAGCGCTGGAGTGCTCACCATCTCCGGCGGTCACTGGATCCATTGTTGTACTACTGTAACAGTTAGAAAGTCTTTCCTGATATTCAACCAAAACCTGGCTTCCTGTAACTTGAGCCCATTGTTGCATGCCCTGCACTCTGGGATGATCGAGAACAGGTCCTGCCCCTCCTCTGTATGACCTATCATATCTCCCCTCGGTCTTCTTTCCTCAAGGCTAAGCCTGCCCAGTTTTTTCAGTCATTCCTCCTAGGGCTCGGCTTCCAGTCCCCTGACCATCCTTGTTGCCCTCCTCTGGACTCACTGCAGCTTGTTGTTATCCTTCTTAAAGTACAGTATCTAGAAATGGACACAGTACTCTGGATCAGTGGTTCTTAACCTTGGATTACTCAAGTGTTTTTGAACTACAACTCCCAGAAACCCAAGCCAGCACAGCAGGTGGTGAAGGCTTCTGGGAGTTGCAGTCCAAAAACACTTGAGTAACCTAAGGTTAAGAACCACTGCTCTAGATGAGGCTTAACCGCTATGATCAACAGTAAAAGATAATGGAAGTGGAAGCCCAAACATTACAAAGGCCAGAGGTTCCCCATCCTTTATGAGAGTGATCAGAAAACCTTCCTATGAAAGAAGCTTCTTATTAAGTATGGTGAGCCATTTGCCCATCAGACCCAGTAATCCTTACTTGGTCTGGCAGCAGCTCTGCAGCTGTCTTTTCTATCGCCTTTACCAGAAATGGAATGAAGATCATTTGCATTCAAAGCATGCCTTCTACCGCCGAGTTACAGCTCCTGACTGAGCTTATTTTGTAAAGTTGATGACCAAAGTCTTTTCTGTCCTCTTGAGACAATGAAATCAAACTTCCTTGCACCATTGTACACTTCACCCTCCTCCCATCTTATTTTCATTTAATTGTAGAGTTTAAGTCCTTTAGTACAATACTTCCCACACCACCGCAACCATGCCATTCCCCCTCATTCCTTTCAATGTAAGGTAAGTCAAAGCTTTTACAAGTCTGGTAATTAGAAATCTCTATGGTATAGTTTCATTAAAAACTTTCATTAAACAACATCTGCCCTTGTATAGGGTCTTCTAATCAATTTGGTCAAACAGAAGGGCTTCTAATCGTCTGTTGATAAAAATAGAAGATGAAATTTTAATTCTAATAGATTAACCACAAATTCAAGATAGTCTTCAAAATCCATCTCGCTCTATTCTCCAGTGGATTTAACGACTATTCAGCAACTCATTACTAAATAGAACAAGATGAACATTTTCCAGTTCATTAAAGAAATGTACTATGTATTTTTGCATTGTCCTCATGATTCGTTACAGGGAGTCTTAATTACAAGATAATGGATAATGGTTATTAAACGCAGACTCCAATAATGAAGCTCTATTCATTTGTGAGCCTCAGAGACCGCAAAGAGGGAAAATAAAATTACTAGCTTCAAAAGATTAACGGATCAAATTATTATTCAATTTTGAAAATCTCATTCAGACTTTTCAGAAACAGGAAGGGATCTTTTTTTTAAAAAAATACTAGTATTAGGACTATGGTGATGCACTTATTTTTTAAAATAAAATAATATCTTAAGGCTATTAACAGAATAATCAGCTTGAGATGTGATTATCAAACATACAGCCAATTTAGCAGCATCTTCTAACAATGAAAACAACACATTTTTTATTCCATGAACAAATACTATTTATGATACAATCAAGGGCCTGCTAGCAGGATTCCATAAAGAATAGAGAAGATGGATTCTGCCACTGAGCTTTACAATATAAAGGTATTATTAACATTTTATATTCCACTAATGAAAACTGGGACTTTGAAGAATAAGGGGTTGGGGGGTAGAAAGCCAACTACTGTTTTAAAATGGAAGCCATTAAGTATAGCTCACGCTAGCTTTATAAATAAAGGTGTTCCTAGTCATATTATTCACCTGTCAATGCCCCTTTTTTCTTTCTTTCTTTTAGAGTTATAGTAATAATAAAAAAGGACAAAAGTTTAGCCAAATAGAAAAAGAGCAGCATCTGATCTCATAGCAAAGTGCAGTTCTGAGTTGTTCACTGGAGAAATTCTGTGGTATCAGGCCCAGAACTTGGAAGTTACTTATCTGAACAACAAAACCCCAGATTTCCCAACCATTGTGGGCATTGTCCAAAACATTATTTTACGAAGTGCAGAATGGTTTCTAACAGAACGTCAGCTAAAGGAGACTTGGGGGTCTGTAACCCTATGTGTAAAAGGAGAGGCAGCAAATCATTTCCCTTTCTTCTTCCTGCGATTGGCAAAGTTCAGGGCATTGATATTCCACTTTTTTTCCCAAGATCTCAGGCAGAGATCCATGAAGGGGTTTTACCCTCCTTACAACCTATGAATCCACATGAATCAGGGCCCAAAACATCTGTTCTGGAAGCAGCCAAAAGAAGCAAGAAAAGAAAACATTAAGTAAAGGTAAAGGTTCCCCTTGACAATTAGTCCAGTCGTGTCCGACTGTAGGGCGCAGTGCTCATCCCCGTTTCCAAGCCACAGAGCCAGTGTTTTGTCCAAAGACAGTTTCCGTGGTCACGTGGCCAGTTTAAGGAGACACGGAACGCCGTGACCTTCCGACCGTAGTGGTACATATTTATTTACTCGCATTTACATGCTTTTGAACTGCTTGCTAAATTGTTTTATCCCCGTTCCATAAAAATAGCTCTCAAGGCAGAAACAGGCATAACTAAAAACCATTTAAAACAAAATAACCAGTAAAATCACTGTAATAAACAAAACAGTTGAAACTGAAATGATATGTCCTCCCACCTCTACTAAATACAATGAAGGCAAGAATGATCGGTCTCATGGAAGTCCATTCCTCAACCTGTTTTTACCCCCCATGTTTTTGAAAGTCATGGCTCTAGGAAATTAAATTTTTAATGATACTATCTAAAGTGAAATACACACACACACACGCACGCACGCACACGCGCACACACACAAATGCAAATACTGGATAATGACTGCATCTGGGGAAGAAACTGGGGTGGAGGACATACACCATATTCTGTTACGCTTCTGGCGCAGAGTAAATGAAGACACTTTACCAGTTCTTCTTTGACGGTTATATTTACATATATGTACACTTATATACACTTACATATAT